AACCCCAACTTTTCCCCTCAGAACTCCCCTAAAAACCCCTTTTTCCCCTCAGACTCCCACTTTTCTCCCTCAAAACCCCTTTTTCCCCTCACAAACACCCCCAAACTCGCCCTTTTTACCTCGGGACTCCAAAAAGCTGTTTTTTTTTAATATAAAACTCACTTTTTCCCCTCTAAACTCCCCCAAATCCCCATTTTCTCCTCACACCTCCCCAAAAAAAACACTTTCCCCCCCCCCAAATCCCACTTTTCTTCCTCAAAATCGCTTTTTACCTCACAAACCACCCAAACTTTCACTTTTCCCCTTTAAATTCCCTGAAAAGCCCATTTTCCCCCTCAAAACCCCATTGCCCCCTCAAAACTCTCCTCAGATCCCTTTAATTCCTTTAAAACTTCACTTTTTCCCCTCACAAACTTCAAAAAAACCCCTATTTCCCCTCAAAATGCCCTTTCCCCCCAAAATTCCAAATTTCCCCCTCGCCCCACCCACAAAAAAACCCTTTTCACCCCAAACCCTTCACAAAAACCTTTTCCCCCTCAAAACTCTCATCTCCCCCCCCAAAAAAAAACCTTTTTCCCCCCAAAATCCCCTTTTTCCACCCAAAATCCCCTTTTCCCCCATAAATACCCCAAACCCCCCTTTTCCCCTCAAAACTTCCCCCAAACCCACCTTTTCCCTCCCCAAATCCCACTTTTTCCCCTCAAAACTGCCCCGACCCCCCATTTTCCCCCTCACTTACCAAAAAGAGCCTTTTTTTCCTCCAAAGTCGCCTTTTTTCCACTCAAAACCACTTTTTTCCCCTCATAAACCCCCCAAACCCTCCGTTTTTACCCCAAAAATCCCATTTTTCCCCCCTCAAACCACCCCCAAACCTTTTTCTCTCCAAGTCCCCAAACTCCACTTTTTCCCCTCACAAAAATCCCCGTTTTCCTCCCAAAATACCCCAACTCCCTCCTTTTACCTCAAAAATCCAACTTTCCCCTCGCGACCCCCAAAATCCCCATTTTTTACCTTAAAACCCCCCAAAATCCCCATTTTTTACCTCAAAACCCCCCAAAAATCCCCTTTTTGCCCTCCAACCCCCCCAAACGCGACTTTTCCCCCTCACAAACACCCCAAAAAACCCTTTTTACCCCCAAAGCCCCATTTTCTCCTCACACCCCCGAAATAAACCCATTTTTACCCGAAATCTCACTTTTTCCCCTCACAACTTCCCCAAACGCCCCTTTTAACATCGAAATTCCCCTAAAAAAAACCCTTTTCTGCTCAAAACGCCTCTTTGAACCCAAACTTTCCTTTATCCACCCCAAATCCCTATTTTTTTACCCCAAACCCCCTTTTTTCCACCCGTACCCCCTTTTCCCCCGAAACTCTCACTTTCCCCCTCAAAACTCCTTTTTTTCACCCCAGACTTCCTCTTTCCCCACAAACCTCTCTCTTTTCACCCCCAAATCCCCAGTTTTCACCCCAAACCCCCCATTTTTCACTCCAAACCCCGCTGTTTTCCCCCAAACCCCTTTTTCCACAAAAAAAACCCCCTTCCTTTCTCTAAACGTCCTTTTTTCTTATCAAAACTCCCTTTTTTCACCCCAGTCCCTCCTTTTCCCCTTAAAC